AAACAATATCGATAACATTAAATGAAATCTACAATTTTACGATATTAATTTTAATTCTTAACAATTAATTCTTTTCCAATATCAATCGTTAATAAATTTCAATTTCACATATTGTTATCCCCATCTTCGAAGATCGATAATTTTCATAAGCTTGACAAAGACTCGATCAAGAGAAAAAACGAAAGAAAGAAAAATCGTATTACCTCGCTACTCGATCCTCTTAATGGGTTAACAACATTAGTCCAATTGTAGAGGATGGCCCAGTTATCGTATATAGAAAGGTGAATCGCACACGAGACGAGATTTCACGACCTCGCGAGTGTCCTCATCCTCCGGTTATGTAGGCATACATACGCGTCTAGAGGAAGTCACCACACCGTGCACGGCGTAGAATAAACGGTCAGTGACGCGCGGTAATGGCCGACATCCTAATCCTGGCCCCCTACAGCTTAATGCCATACACTCCGCAATGATAATGCTGCGTGTGCTTTTTGTCATTACCAGTCGCCATTCTACCCCGTAATGAGCACCGCCGCGACAACTCCTTCGATATAGGATTCGCGACCTTAGTCGTCACGCGAGTCCTCCAACCGCTTCCGGTCCCGGAAAACGATTTAATCGACGACAGAAACCGTGGACAGAATTTTAATTTCGATTCCCGTACATCGAAGTTTTTACGCTTTTCTAATCTTAATTTTTTTTTCTTTTTTTTTTTTTGGAGGGAAGACGATCTATGGATCGGGCTTTTAGAAACGATATCCGTCAGAAGCATGATCGGTTCGTTGGTTAATTCAACTTCTCTGTTTTTTCTCAACTAACTCGCCTTGTGTGAGAGGACTATGGCAAGTTATTTGGGCACAATGGAATAGGAAATTGGAGAGGAGAAGATTGAAAGATAGCGATTGACGGGGAAGATGAAGGTGAGGAGGGAGGCTCGATCGAGGAAAAATCGTGCGGGTTTCGCTTCGAGCACGCGTGATCGTAGCAAAAGACGTGACGTCACAGGTCTTGACCCTCTGCCCCCCCCCCCATTTATACGTATATAGCGGCGTTCCGAGGCATCATCTGCGGGCCCAAGACGTGGAGGAGGATGCGGAGGAGGGGGGTAGCCCGCAGCTGCCGCCCTGGCTGCCAACACAATAATATCTAATTAATTTATTAATGAGGTTAAGTTGGCAGGATTGGACGGCAGACAGCGCGAGCCGCCGCGCCGGTTCGGCCTGCGTTGGCCCGTTTTACTTGAACGTCTTTCCCCTCCTTTTCTCTCTCTCTCTCTCTTCCTTCCTTTCCCGATGCTTCTCGTCGCGAGAATGAATTAAGCTTAATCAGAGCGAAAGTGTTGGGCGCGCGTGCTCGCAGGGCCGCACGACTGGCCCTTTTCACCAGTCGCCTTTCGTGTTTCCACGATTATTGTTGGATAGAAAAAAAAAGAAAAGGTTTCGTTGATGACGAACGATTGTTTGATTTCAACAAATGGCTTTGTGAAAAAATAGAAGCAAAAGTGGCTATGCGAAAGTCTTGCTTTTCAAACAGATTAGATCGAGGTTAATTAACATTTGTATTAAAATATTCGTTGTTTAGAGGGTAGATGAGGAATATCTGTTTTTTTCCAGGGGAGGATTATTAAAAGTAGAAAGAATTTAAATTCAAGATAATCTTGCGATTGGGAGGGGGAGGGGGAATTGTTTGCCGAGCGTTGAATTGAATTTTTATTAAATCGCGCGACCTGTTATGAGGAAAGGGAGGAAAGTAGTAACGTTCGTTTCGAGTAACTTTTGACATAAAATGTCAATTCGATTTTAATACGACGTTAGGATTTTAATCTGTTAAACAACAGGACAATTGTTTAATCGATTTCAACGCCGTACTTAATTTCCTTGAATATTCTATTTAACGAATAGAGCCACAATTTATATTTATACCGGACTGTCAGCTTGAGTCTGCATGTCAATTAAATCCATCAATTACACTGAACCATTTAACCCGTCCCTATTATAATGTTTTGTTGACAATAACTTTAATATGTTATATTATAACATTCGAGTTAATCTTTACCATCGACACTTTCACCATTGTCCCAATTAATATCCCCGGAAAATTGAAATTTAATATTGTTTAATTGTCTCTTCTTAAAAAGTTCGTACTCCGCGTATATCTACGCACGGCCATGCATATATCTAACGTAGTATGGGATTACAGGCGAAACTCTGTTATCCGTTAAATGGCGGAAAAGATGAAAGAAAACTTAGGAAACGATATTACGTGATATGTTGTCGGTAAGTCGAAAACGATATAGGAAATAGTTTCGAATAGATTCGTCATTTTTCTCGAAGACGTTAACGAAGACGTATAAAATAATCATATAAACTCGTTAGTTGAGCGAGTAATTTAATAACAATCTTGGTGGATAAACTTTTCCACAAAAATAATCGTAATATATCCATCGTTCAATTCTCCAAAACAATTACTCCCAATTAACTTCCCAATAAAGATAATATCCAAAAGAAATAAGATAAAATCAATGTTTGGAGAAATCATCACGTTTATTACGCGATTGTATTTTATTGTAAATGGCCAAGGAACGAGAATGAAAGTAAGAGAGGAACAAGAATCGAAAATTGGTTGGAAAAACCGAGAAAAAGAATCATTGGGTAAAAATCATATCGCGTTAAGTTCAGACCCGGCTCTTCAGCGGAAGCTTTAGCTGCAGACAGCTCGCAGTCCCCGGAGGGATTCGCTGACGAAAACGAGCACGGACAGCCGCCCTTATACCCATCATCGTCAACCTCTTTCCGCGGCTCGTTCGACTTCTTCTCTTCGCGAAAAATCCCCTCAACCGGCTGGCCGGTTATTACGTGACCATAAAGAGGCAGTCGTTTTCCATGGCTACCTTATGTGGCTCACTGGCGCCCTCTGGCCACAGGAATTCCGGAAGTGGAGGAATTCGCGCGGTGAAAATTGATTGAGATGGTTTCAGTGGTTCAAATTCTTTTTCTTTTCTTTTTTTTTTTTTTTGCAATTGATTTATATTGGTTGTGCAATAATCAGACGAAATATCTATATACATATTCTTCTTTCTATTTTACCTATCAAGAAGTGATACTTGTAGAATTAAGTATCGTTTTAATTCAATTCTGTTTTTCATAATAAATTAATTGCTAATGGTGGTTTTTTTATTACGATTTAATTTGTCACTTGTCATTTCTGTCACAATAGATTTTAAATATTAAGGAAATATGAAAAATGAAGCGAGGTGTCAATATTACAAATATTAAATAGTTAATGTATCGAAGAACGAGTTACACGAGCGACTAATCAAATGTTGTATACACGATGGCGGCAAATTTAAATACCGTGACGCGTTCATTCGAGGACCGATTTGCTTGCAGAATTGAATTTGAGCGAACAATTACACTTGATTCTATCTATTTCCGTGAAACTCTGTTTGGAAACACGTGGGAACAAAATTCGAATAGAAAAAAAGGAATTATTTAAATTCTCTAGGGTAGTAGAATTTTTAGAAATACAAAGAAAATAATACATTAAGTTGAAAATTCTTCGTTCGATTAAATTTACTGTGATAATGTCGGTATTGAAAGGATATCGTATAAATAGTTATTAAACGAGTCATAGAAATGTAATACGGTTTAATTGAAACGTGTTTAAAAGTTAAATCAATATTCAAAGATTCAAAGCATTGAGATTTTGAAGGATTGAGGTTTCAAAATTTCCAAATATTAGAGATAAACATTTTCGTCAATAATATCAATGATTTAATGATTACGTTTTGAGTAAATTGGATGGCGAATGGTGTGTTGACAATTAATAAACGCGAGGAAAGTGTAAAAATTTTAAAAAATCATATCCGTATATTTGCTAGGGAAATATACGGAGAAAATATTTAAAAATATTGATATTCGTAAAATCTATCAAACAAATTTATTACATATATGATAAAATTATTAAAATGTACACAATTTAAAATAACATTAAAAATTAAAAGAAAAAAAATAGTTGTCGTTATTAATTTTTGTTAAATATTACTCGTTAAATTATTTAATTATTCACTTACGTACGATATTATTCGAGGGAATAAAATCATTCGAGATTCAACATCAAGATTGGGATCCGTCGGACATAATATCCGGCTGCATAGATAGATAGATTAATTCTTTTACTTATACGTTATAATATACATATTTCACGAAAATTATAGAATATAGATATTTTATCGAAAGGTATTCATTAATTCTTTTTTTATCACAATGCAAAGGTATCGAAACAGGAACACAAACAATTCTGCTGCAAATGTTTATACACTGTAATAACGGATAATGCATATATGAAAATGTGCAAAATATTTAAAAAAAAGAAAAGAAGAATTTCTTATTTAAATATTCTTTTTTTTTATCTCATCCAGAAAAATAAGAATTTAACGTAAATATGTTTAATTGCATGAACATATACAATCCAGTGATGATAACGAAGTTACGGGTATTGCACTTAATATCGAGGATTGTAATTTACAAGTATCTACATTAAAGTGCATAGAGATCGTATGGCATTAACAATTCCTATCATTGCAATTGTACCGAAACGATTGAAACACTTGATTCTTTCGAATATTATCCAATTTTCTCGAGCAACCCATCAAGCATAATTGAAAATATAACCAAATGCCGGGTTCAAACTGGTAAATTAGGGGACAAACCTTTCTACAAGTGGAAACTTAATCGATAGAAATTTGTTCAAATTAATCAATTTTCCAATTTCAAAAGATTCAGCTCAAAGCTAAATGAATAAATATTCAAGCTTCAATTTTTTTCCTTTTTCCAATTTTGGTTAACAATAATATCCACGATAGGAATCGTCGGAAGACTGACAATTGAAAAACGAAAAGTACAATTTTTTTTCGAGAATGATACTCTCTCGAACAATTATCTTTTGCATGAAAAGACGGATTCGTGAAAAATCGTGAAAACCTTCGAAATATCGCTCACCTTGACCAAAGGTGGACTATGCGTGGGTGGATGGTAGTGTCCCGAAGAAGGGCTCGCGGGCGGCCCCGCGCCCCCGGGCGAAATGGTACCGCCTCCGGGGGTGAGAATCCTGGACTCGTGGCTGAACAACACTTTCTCGATTTCCTCCGCACTCTCGCGGATCACCTTCGACTCCCTGAACCTTTCTCCTCCCGCGACCCGATCGCAAGATCCACGATCTGGAACGTCCTCTTCAGACCTCGTCTACAGTTTCTCCTCGATCACTGAACACAACAAAGATCTCTGCTCTACGCGTCCTCCTTTCAACACTTGCACCAGCTTTCTTCCCCTCCTCTGAATATCGATCATTCAACAGCCACACTTCGAAAACATCAGGCTTCGTACAGTTGCCTCTTCGATTTAGAAACGCTGGTTTCTCGAATCGTTCGGTTTGGTTAACGCACCGACGTTTTCTTTCTAATTGTCATTGTAAATTTTCGCGAGAAATCTCGAGAGCGTCTCGTCGAAGATCGATGGGATTCTTCAGTTTGTTGTCCTTCAGGCAGGTACTCGTGGCAGATTGTTTTCCTTTTTTTCGTGATTTACGTTCGAAACACGTAGAAACTCGATCGAATCTCGATTGATCAACGTATGTAAAAGGCAAGAATCCATTAGTATCACAGGTGTTGTTCTCCCTTCACCAATTCTTCCCTGTTCAAACCTATCGATCTAACCTCTTCGAACATCTTCAATTCACTTCCAAATCTAAAATAAAACTCTCGATCGTTGACACATGACGAATTCCAATTAGCCAATTTCTCGTATCGATAAAACTCCACAACGACCAAATCCCAGAACAACTGTTCGAACACCTCAAACAACTTTCATCACAAACTTCTTCGAATTGTCAACTCCTCGACAAGATCCTTCGCGTGAAATTCGCGTTGAATTCAAACTGTCAACCCTTCGACACCTCGAATGCTCCGTGTCAACCTGTTTTCAGAACAAATCTCTTCGAATCTTGCTTCCTCGACACTCGAAACTATTCGTATCTCGTTAATTCCCTTTATCCGGTTTCTCGGCCAGATCCAGGCCATGCACTGCACTGGGAGTCGATCCGACACCAGCTATGATCCACGAGAGGAGACCCGAAAAAGCGGAGTGGTCGCGTTCGAAGAGGATCCCAGAGCTGGATTGTGTGTCGTTCACGGTGTCGCCTCGACGTCCAGGCAGCGAAAGCGTGTTCGATAGGCGGAACCACGCAGGCGTCGAGCGGTTCTCGAGGCGTGGTCTGCGATTCCTCGTCTCTGTTCGACCATCCGGCCTGTTCTCGTCTTGGCCGCTTGTCTACGCGGGGGTGGCGGATTCACCACGTGGTTTTATTGGCCAAATAACGCGTACGACAAACATCCCTACCGTAGGCAACCCGGAGTGTCTCCCCGTGTGTTGTAACTCACCCTACGCGCGTAGCCACTTTGGAACAGAGGGAGAGAGAGAGAGAGAGGAGGAGGAGGAGGCGATAGTCGTCATGGTGTAAATCGTGTTTACCCCCTCGTCCATAGTGATTCTCTCGTGTGTATCAGACGCGCTCCACCTCGACCCTTACTCACAACTCGCGTGCTCGTCTCTTTTCAACTCGTGGCTATGAGACAGCCTCGTTCCGGAGGGAGGACGAAAACATAGCGACGCTCATCCTCCTTCGGGCCTCCTCGTTTCTTGGACGATGTTCCTGGCTCGTGCGCGCCGCTGGACTTTCGAACAACTCGCGACCTAAGGAAAAGAAGTTGCCTTCTACGTGTCTATATGCGTACGTATACGGCTCTGAACAACGTTTGCCTCTTTGGGGTTGGACGAGGTTCCGTTTTTTCGAAGTCTGTTTTTTCCTTTTTGGTTTTGTTTTTGCGCTTAGAATGAGGGAAGAAAGAGAGCTTTGAGTTGGAGTTTCTTCGGTAAAAGGAGATTTGTTTGAGCATTGGTTTGATAAGGTTTGATTTCGTTTGATTAGGTTTGATTTATTCCAACGAAATAAAGAAAAATGTAATATGGTAAAATAATCGATTGTTCCTCAACTTTTTCACTCTCAATTTTTTATTTTTCAATAATTTTTGAATGGAAGTTTTTTTGATAGAAAGAGACTTGTTCAAGTTTGATTCTATTTGATTAGGTTTGATTTATCCTAACGAAATAAAGAAAAATAGTAAAATAATCGATTGTTCTTCAATTGTTTCACTTTCAATTTTTTATTTTTCGATAAATCGTTTTTTGAGTCGGAGTTTTTTCGGTAGAAGGAAGTTTGTTGAAGTTTAATTCTGTTTGATTAGGTTTGATTTGATTCCAGCGAAATAAAGAAAAATGGTAAAATAATCGATTGTTCTTCAACTTTTTCACTCTCAATTTTTTATTTTTCAATAATTTTTGAATGGAAGTTTTTTTGATAGAAAGAGACTTGTTCAAGTTTGATTCTATTTGATTAGGTTTAATTTATTCTAACGAAATAAAAAAAATGGTAAAATAATCGATTGTTCTTCAACTTTTTCACTTTCAATTTTTTATTTTTCAATAAATCGTTTTTGAGTCGGAGTTTTTTCGGTAAAAAGAAGTTTGTTGAAGTTTGATTCTGTTTAATTAGGTTTGATTTATTCCAACGAAATAAAGAAAAATGTAATATGGTAAAATAATCGATTGTTCTTCAACTTTTTCACTTTCAATTTTTTATTTTTCGATAAATCGTTTTTGAGTCGGAGTTTCTTCGGTAGAAAGAGGTTTGTTGAAGTTTGATTCTGTTTGATTAGGTTTGATTTATTCCAGCGAAATAAAGAAAAATGTAAATAAGCTTCTAAAATGTAATATGATAAAATAATCGATTGTTCTTCAACTTTTGCACTTTCAATTTTTATTTTTCGATAAATAAAAATCGGTTTGGAGCAAAGATCCGAATTCTTCAAAATTGAAAATAATACCACCGAGTATTCTCCTCTCAAAGAACGAAAAACTGATCGTAAATCAAGCTTGAACCGAGTAGAGACGAAGGTGAATAGAAGTTGCCGCGACAGGGGAGGAGAAAGGGAAGTCTATAAAATCTGATACAACGAATCGGACGGTCTCGATTTTTCTGCAATTTTCCCCAATCTTGATCGGCTCCAATTTCATCCCCTATCGAATCGCACTTCGGCCGGAATCCAAGATCCGTACATCCGCCGGCAGAAACGATTCGAAACTTGCACGATGACGAGGTTTCGAGTCAAATGGTAAGATCGGAGCACGCGCTTATCCGTGTCCATATATTCTCTTTCCATTTGATTCTTCCAACCCTTCGGGGATAGATTTTTGATGCTCGAAAGCTCATAGGATAGGAAGGTATAGACGACGTCGATGTAAACGCGAGACATTGAGGATAGAGCGGAAAAGAAACAGGAAAGGGGAAAATTCGAGTAAAATTGATGCATAGAGATAAAAAAGAGAGAGAGAGAGAGATAGAGGAAAAGGAAGAGAAAAGGAGAGAGGTATGAAATTTTTTCATACTTTTTCCAGAAAATTCTGGAAAAGATATTGCGAGATAAATGGAATAAATATTGGATAATCGTAAAATGGCTACAGAACGGGAAACAAAAGTAAATAATCAGAGTAGACAAGGAAGGGAAACGAGGATGGGAGCAATCAAAGAACACGGAAGGGCGGAATTCGGGTGGAGAGAGGGAAGAACAGAGGGATAGAAAGAGCAAGAGACCGAGTTAGGAGAATAATCGCGTTTCGTGGTGACTAGATTACACCACTCCACGCTTGCGAACTACACACCACGTATAGAACCACCTATATATACCGCGTATATAACTAGTCGAGAATTTCACCCCCTGTCCACCCTCCGTGATACCGGCCTCTACTACTCGAAATATCCGGTTATCTATTCCCAATTTTTCCTCGCCGTTTGCAGGGATGATTTTCTTCCACGCGAACGTGGAGAAAAAAATAGGTTTTCGAATCATTGCCCACTTTCAAATGAGTAATAAAATTGATATTAAAAAAAAAAAAAAAAAATAGGACGAACAATTTTAGAATATTTTCGTTATTTAAAATGATAAAGTAGGAAAAATTTGCTTGTATCTTTGACTTATCCATGATCATAAGACTCATCTTCATTCACAAAAAAAGAAAAAAACACCAATCCAAACCAAACCTTATCCAATTATACCTATATAATTCACGTAAGACTTTCAATCCCACGAATTCTTCTCCCTTAATTCCATTCGATGCTTCCGTATCCATATCGACACACGCTCGAGGCTTACCTGCCCAGCGATCTTAGCCTCCCTTCCCATCAACCACCTCTTCAAGCCCTCCTCCCTTCGGGTCCAGCTAGAATTCCGGCAGCGTCGTCGAGCGGGTTGCGGAGGTTGTTTAATAAAATAACCTCGTTACGCCGGTGGGCGGCCGAGGGGTGTTCCGAGGTGGTTGTCGGAGCATCCGTCGGAGTGTAAAAGACTGAGTCTCGAAGCGAGGCGAGGTCTTTGGAGGAGGAGGAGGAGGAGGAGGAGGAGGTGGAAGAAGGAGAGAGAGAGAGAGAGAGAGAGAGAGAGAGAGAGAGAGAGAGAGAGAGAGAGAGAGAGAGAGAGAGAGAGGTAGG